AACTTCCTGTATAAAATGTGACTATTTTTTACTAACATTAAACTAAAATCTTTAACAAAGTAATTATCAAAAACATAAACCTTACTTATAGGTTAATATTAACAAGATCACGTCATAAATTCCTTGAAAACTAGTTTCTTTCTACGAACACCAAATTCTTCTCATAAAGCTAATATTTTTTATTATCTATTTAGTTTAATTACAGTCCGGAATGACATATTTTCATGATTTATATAATTCAAAGTAGCACACTATTTATTTTAAAATTTTTAACACATTACAAAAATGACATGATTGATTTATAATTTAAACTGCCGCTTTTTTATCTCCCCTCTCTACATATGGGACATATGGAACACTAGCGCCCTCTTATTTTTGTAAGATTTTTGTTTACATGGACATGGCTGGAGTTCGGGCTCCATGTATAGTCTCCATGATTTGAACTATGGTTAGAACCATGGACCATAGATTTCTAACGATTTTAATGTTTAGGGAAATCTAGGGATATTTTGTAACAATTCTAGGGATAACTCTTCTTGAGATGTTGGCGACACTGGGTTAACCTCATTTTGTTCAAAGTTATTTTTATTTATAATTATTTTTTTAAACCGTGAAGCTTTATGATTTCTTAAATTTTTAAAATGTTAACTTTAGAATTAGAATCAGATTTAAGTAATAGCGGTGTATATGATTCTACTTCAGACTCCGATATTTGTGACTACAGTGAAATCAGTAAGATATTTAAACAAGCAGACAATATATGTGAAAAAATAATAACAAAGAATAATTACATTTTAGGTATAGATGCAACCAGGTATTATCTGAATAATATAAGTGAATGCTTCGAAAACAATTAATATTTTTTAGTGAATGTGAACCCAATGTTGCTGTGACCGTATCAGATAATAGTAGCTGTAAAATCTACAAATTAAGTAATCAGCAGGTTGCCATTTTAACAACTTTGAATGAGTATCAAGAAATAATTGACTGTAAATTTAGTAAACAAGATTACGATTTAATATATGTATGTTCAAGAAATGGTAGTATAGCATTGTGGGACATTAGAACACCGAAAAAATCTGTTGCAAATTTTTCAGGTATTTTTTTTATATTCAACAAAAATATGACACCCTAGATATTTCTTACCTTAATAATTTTGATAATTATTTACTATAGCGGCACCCTCCCAATCTTCACAAAATTTTATCTACCCCCCTTTTTTCAAAGGTGCTGAACATTAATCTGAAGTTATTTTTGTGTGGTCGAACCCAGTTTTCGAGAAATTTTTTTTTTTTAAATTCTAACGAACATTTCACACAACTGTAACTCTCAGAACATTATGAACAATTAACATTGTTTACGAAGTAAAAAAATATGTATTTCATAAATAAAAATTTTGTACCTTGAATCCGCCATTTGTAATTCGTGATGTTCCCTCGCTCTCATTCATCTCTGTTCATTCCACATAAAGTTACTACAGTGTAGGAAAGTACCGTTGGTCTATCAGAAGTTACGTGAGAGCGATAAAGTAAGCCATAGAAATCCATGTGATAGACAAGGATGGCTATAATGAAGGCGTCTAATAGTCAACGCCCATTTCGCCCTTCCAAAAATAAGAAGTGGATCTTATTTGTGGAAGGTCGAAATGGGCGTTGACTATTAGACGCCTTCATTATAGCCATCCTTGTCTATCACATGGATTTCTATGGCTTACTTTATCGCTCTCACGTAACTTTTGATATTCCATCGGTACTTTCCTACACTATATAATTTTATTTATTAAATACATATTTTTTTGGTTCAAATTTGGGAAAATGTGTTTCTTAAACAATGTTGATTGTTTATTACAGATGTTTTGGAAGTTACATAAAATATAGAGTTCTGCATAGTGTTAATAATAATAATCAGTGGCGGCGCGTGAACATTGATTGAATGTGTTCTGCTTAGGGTTGTTACATTTGTGGAATTGAATTCCGGAATATTAAGTGCCCGGAGAGTCTCCAAATGGCGCCGCAGGCGAAAAATTTTAAAATTTTCAAGTTCACGCATTTTCCTGGCACTTCTGAATTTCAAGGAACAATCCATTTATACAAAAATACAGATTTCCACAAGAACGATTTTTGAAATTGATATCTTTTTGAAACATCTATTCATGAATTACCTGCTGATGGTATAAATAAATTGGAATAAACTAAATATATTTTATTAAATTATTGATTATTTATAAACAAAAAAATCGTTTGTGAAGTTTACCAACGATTCAACGGATTTTAATTTTCCTCGTCGTGTTATGATTTTTTTCTTTATTTTATATATATATATATATGTACATATATTATATTCCGAGAGTTATACAGCTAATTCCCGGTACAATCACAAAAAATCCCGGTCATACCCATGTGACTAGATGTTCTTTTAATATGTCGTCAAGATCTGCACTAAAATTTATGAGTCCACAAAACACATCAGGGTTGTCCGAATTTTCTGTCTCGTATCCGCGAAGTGCTACTTCGAAAGCTCCGCAAAATTTTATGCAATCTATGATATTCGATAATACATAACGATTTTTTGTTACCTGTTCATTGTGTTGCCGTATATTATCCCAATATGCAGAATCTAACTGACTTCTTATGTTTATTTTACCTAAAGACTTAATGACTTAAATCTTTCACACTGTATATTGTCCATGCTTTATCCTCACCAAAAAGTAAGCACGGAAAACAAAACAGTGTATTTTTTAAATCACACCCGCACACCCACCCTGCTTTCGTGTATACATTATTGTTAAATTGTCTTTTATAATTTTTATTTCGGCTTGTTCCACTAACTTCAATATTTAATTGTGGTGTTGGCCCACCTAATTCTTTTATTTTTAGTTTATCCTCATGGGCTAGATCCCGTCATTTGAACCACCCTTTTTATTCTTGTCATTAGTTTTAAGCATTAGACCCAAGAGAACTGAGATGTTGTGTGTGTTGCGGCAGCGGTGGGGCTGAAAATAGGGAAGTGGGGTCAAGTAAGTGTGTGGAAAGGGCGAGGCGGAAAAGGTCGGGGATGCGAGAGGGGAGATAGGTGGTTGTTCGAGTAGAGCGGACGTAAATTTCCAGCTTTACCTGGTAAAACGGGTACGATTTCGTAAGATCGGAGAGAAGATTGGGGAACACAGCGTAAAGGTTTTGGATAGGGAACTGTTGGATAGCATAGGGCAGTCAACCCCAAAAGTCCAAAGTTTTATGAGTACCGTGGAGGAGATACAGGATTGCTGGCTATTTGTGAGTGAGAGGAGTTGAAGAAGAGTTTGTTTAACTAGTATCCAGACCCACTATTATATTTTTGGGAAGGTGCGAATAAGAAACACACAAAAAAGTGAGTAGTTACTTTATTTTGCTGATGGACATTGAAGAGTATTGTAGTGCTTGTAAAGTGGTTTTCGACTAGAGTTTGAACAAAAGTTCTTTTTTGTTTTCGTTTGTATTATGTATTGGTCTACAATAAAAAAGTAGCATTAGTGTACAATAAATCTGTTTTTTTTTTCTCATTTTCTTTCCGAGAAAAGAACCTCCCTGGAAAAGAATCTAAGTCAAGCTGTCCGACTCAGCACAACATGGCGCTCAACTTAAGGCTTTAAAAATATAATAATAATAAATAATAAGGGTCAGAGGAAAGATAAAATAGAAACTATTAGTTAGTAATTATTGCAGTTAAAATTGTTGTTAGACTGCATTTATTTTACTGTATATTTCAATATATGTAAGTGGTCGCGCCATTATTCCATGGCTAGAAATTGGCCTCAATGATTTGGGATCGAGGGGGATTATCCCT